CATCAACATATTTAAAAATTATATTGTTTTATCAAAATAAAATATTTTACGAAAAAAAATCATTCAGCTATTACGTTATCATGTTATCTGAAAATTATATTTTCTTCCAAATATTTTCACCTAATATTTTACAAACAGTGACATAAAAGATCCACAATCGAATAATTTAGTGATAAAAGATTTTTTTTTTTTATTTTTCTTTTGTAAGATAATGTAGTTTTTTTTAAATAATCCGGTGTAATTTTTATTTTTTCGCACTTTGTCCGCTCGAAATTAGGTTTGAGGTTCAAGAAAACAACAATTTTTTTTTATTTTGTACCCCAAAAAGAAAAACACCAATGAAAAATAAAATTGCCTTTATTATTCAATTGAGGGTGCATTGTGAATGATTTATTGTGTTTTGAGGGTGCAAAGTGCTATTATTATTTTTCGAGGGTGCAAAGTGCCAAAATGGTATATTTCAAGGGTGCAAAGTGGAATTAAGCCAAATTAATACCACGTACAAATTTTGTGGTATTTGTTAAGGGTATTAATGTCATTATCTACTTATTTTCTATTTTTTATGTTGGTGGTATTGAACTGAGAAATAAACGGTATTTATTTTAGCCGTCTCCTTCTTTTAAGTTTAACTGTAAACTTCTGGTTGCAGTTACCTTTTTTTGTCCCTTTTAAATGTCAAAATTTGATAGAAAACAGAGCATTTTGAAATTGATAGTGAATTTATCAAAATGTTTATTTAATGTCGAAATTCGCAGTAAACATTTTTAAATATATAGTGAAATTATGAAAAAAGTTGAAGAGAGTGTAACATTTTCATCATAAGTACTTGATCCAAATACGAATTTCAATGTTTCAAGTTGCTTTAGAAATTTAACAAATAGATCAACAAGTTTATATGTTTTGCATATAAAAAAAACAATTAAATTAGATTATAGTCACAATTCGACAGTAAACATACCACAGTGAACTTATGAAGAACTTGATAGAGTTGGTGTGTACTATTTTCATCATAACTTCATTAAAATTCCGATTTCGGTGAGTTAGAAAGACATGAAATTGATCGAGAAGCTTTTTCGTTTTGTCACGTGTGTTAATTCGATGTATATCACAAATTCCAAAATTTGACAGTTAACCTCTGAGAAACCAATAGTTACTTATGAAAAATTAAATATAGGTAGTGTACCATTTTGATCATAATGTTGTCATCTGAAATCCGATTTTAATGATTCAAATGTGTTGAAAAGGCAAACCCAAAAAAAAAATCTACAACTTTTGTATTCGTCATGTCACGAAATTCCGATTATATCATAACCAAAATGCAATAGCTTACTAATTTCAAAACTACAACAATATTACATTTTGATCAAAACTTTTTTTATCCAAACTCCAATTGCACTGATTTAAGTTGTGGTTTGAAAGCCAACAAATAGACTTACGACTTTCATCTGACATTTTTTTTTCTAATTTGAGTTGGCTTAATTCCACTTTACACCCTTAAAATGTAGTATTTTGACAGTTTGCACCCTCGACAAATATTAATGTATTTTGCACCTTTGAAACACAATAAACCATTCACAATGCACACTGAATTGAATTTTTAAAATTAATGATGACAACTTCATTTTTTATTGAGTTTTCCTTTTTCAAGGTGCAAAATAATAAATTAAAATGTTATTTACTTCTATCCACCAACCTAATTTTGAGTATATAAAGTATAAAAAGTCACATTAAGTTACATAAAAACTATATTTTGTCACTAAATTATTCGATTCCGGTCTTTTACTATTTGAAAATATTTGATTTTTTGTAAGAAAATATTTGATGTGTCTAATCATAATTAGGCCCATAAACCTAATTAAGATTAGGTCCAAATTGTCCTAATTAATCTAATTGTGTGTGAAAACTCAATTAGATTACTTTTTACCTTTAAAATGACAACACATTGTCCCACATCGGATTTCTACAAAAGTCTTACATATTCATCCACCTATAAATGTACGTTTCATTTCACATAGGAAGGTACACTCTAATTTAGCAATTAATTATTATTATTTGCTTATTATTACATCTTCTGACTTGAGCGTCGGAGGATAATCGTCGGGCCAAACCCGGCGTGTCATCTAGTGTTTCAATTGTTTTGTAGGTTAACGAACGGAGCAGTCCCTTGGACCATCAATATTTATTTTCAAATAACTTGATAATAGAATAATTGAAGGATTTTTCTTTCTTTTTTGGTTTATATAATATATTTTAGTGATAAAAAAACCCAATAAAAACTGAATTTGCAAGGTTTAAATGTTCATTTCAAGGTGCATTGTGAATGATTTATTGTTTTTTAGAGTGCAAAATATGTTTTTTCGACGGTGCAAATTGCCAAAATACTACATTTCAAGGGTGCATAATGAGATTAAACATATATTGAATTGCATCAAAATCCAAATTGTAATTTAAAATCAATATTATTTACATGAATTTTGGGACATTAAACTTGGCTCTTATATGTCCTACGACGGTTATTTCTATGCTAAACTCAGTGAAAACTACACCGAGTGAAGTTTTACCACTGATCCACACACATCAATATGGGTGTGGGTGTGTGTTTGTGTGTATTGAATAATAAAGATCTATTCAATATATTCCACCCAGTGTAGCATAAAAATAGACCGTCCTAAGAATTGACCTAGTTTTTTCCGGCTACTTTTTAGCTTATAGAAATACAAGAGTAATTATGGAAAATTAACATTTAACATCCAATGACTTTTTAGGCTTCAGCTAATAAATTTGGTATATATATATATTTTTTTTTAATTTAAAAGAGCTAATAAAATTACCACAATAAAATGAAAAGAAAAAAAAAACAGTGTGTTAAAAACGCCATAATCCCTTAATTAAGGCACCACATTCACATGCGAGACAAAGGCGGCCAGAACCCAGAAACCCTTTCAACCCTTTGGCCTTCCAGCATTAATCCCCTCCACTTGGATCTTCAACTATTAGTTTACGAAACTCTCAGTTCGATTATCAGCCCATTTCTCTTCTTCCGCGAAACTCGATCAGGTTTGTCCTTTTCTTTTTTCATTTCTTATCAAATAGTTACCCCATTTTGCACTACTTCATTGCTGTTCATGATTTTTGACTTGTTCTCATTTTGGGTTTTGCTAATTGTCCGCTGATTTAGCCTGATTGTGTAAGAATTATCATTAATTGTATAAGAATTTTGAGGAAATCAAAATGGAAATAAGCAAATCTCAGTTTCGGGTTGGGTCGGGTCACATGGCGTAGAAGAGACAATGGGCATTGAAAGATTTGATCTTTTTTGTGGTTCTATCAATTGAATTAAATTTCTTTCCTTTCTATTTCTGCAATTTTGCAGAGAGTTTAAGTGAAAGAAGATAGTGTCACTGTTCCCTTTTACTTTTAATCATCTGCTCTGTGAATAAAATCTCAAGCTTTCGAAATTTGATGTTGTTTTCTTTGTATTAGTAAAACTTTAGTTTGTCGTCTTTTACAACTGTTGAGTAGCGTGAAAAAATCTATGCGTCGTTATATTTGAGTTATTTTGTTGATTGTTAGCAAAATGGGATGCTATTACGGAGCGTTATGCATCGTCATTACATGTTTTCAGTCCATGGAAATTAGAAAATGTATACAGTGTGTCGGGTACATTTCTAAGCTCTAGATCTTTACGAGGACAATTTTATCGGAAGATTTATACTATCTTATCGAGATACGATATTATTTGCGACAACTATTTCTTTTGGTTGAGAGCTTAGTCGAGTGGTAGATATATATGAAGACTTACATACAGCATCAGTATAAAAGATATTGATTGTGTTCGTTACATTTTATCCTCGAGCATTCTTTAGCAATGAACACATAGAAGCTTGTGATGATAATAAATAAAAGCAGCGTTTGGTTGGGGAGATTAGCCATGATTAACTAAATAATTGGACTTTATTTGATGTTTGGTATCCCCAATAACTTGCCGGGTCGACCCGCAAATAATATGTTATCATCGTTTATCTTGCCTTCTAGGCATGTTTTTATTGGATTTTCCAAGGTCCAACAATACAATTGGGTTGGGTTTCATTAGATTATTTAATCTTATCTTGGTAACCAAACGAGGCCATAGGGTACAGAATTATAGTTTTCTACATCATCAATATGTAATCCGTGCCAATCATTTAACCTTTTTATCGCTCTGCCGTACTCGTATATTTGCTAATTAATTTATTTTTTCTTGTTATATCATAAAAATAGCTACTAAATATCTTGTATAATTGAATAAAATGAATTTAAACACCTCTAGTTGTGAAATACGATGCAAACGAGAAGTCTGATCTTCTGTTCTGTTCATCAATCAAAGGGTCAAATTTTTAATAACATAATTGTATCTCTACCGGGGAAAATTTCCCAGAATTTCGTAAGCAATTGTAGTTTTCAAACAAGAAGTTGTGTAGTTTCAATTTTGGAATTCGTAATACCACTTATATATACGTTGATTCAATGCGATGATATTTCCGTCTCTAAAGAGTCACCTTTTATGGATACAGTATGTTTGTCGGTTCTTATAATTCTGTTAGTTACACCATTAAATTGTAAGTTTTTAACCGTTTGCAGATAGATTGAATAATATCGCGTACGATCAAATGAGTAGTGTTTCAACATCAAACGGCGCACGATCAGCCTTCTCATATTGCGTCCAACAAGTACGAAACTACGACTACCACCACTACCTATGCCTCCTCGAACTCCCACAAAACATGCGAAAATCCGCTTTCGCAATCCGAGCGTTCAACGTCGAAACGTCAAGAGCAATGGACGTTGCTTCCGATCAAAGAATCGGTCTAATGCGCCTCCTTTGGTGGCAAGAATCCATCGACAAAATCTTCTCCAACAAGTTAATCGAACACCCAGTCGCTCAAGCCCTCTCTACAGTAATATCCGAGCACAAGGTCAGTAAAATTTGGCTAAAAAGATCCGTCGAAGCTCGAATAAAAGACGCGCAAAGAGAAGTCACCGATATTCAAGAAACTGTCGAAGATTTGGAGCGTTACGCAGAGGACACGGTATCCACCATTTTGTACTCGACACTTCAATCAGGTGGTATAAGTTCCACCGTAGCGGATCATGCAGCCTCGCATATCGGCAAAGCGAGCGGGCTTTTGTTGCTGCTTAAGTCACTGCCTTACCATGCAAATAGGAAGTCGTGTCTGCCTTACATACCTCTAAAGGTAGCGGAAAAACACGGGCTTTTGGTGAGTGAGGGTGGGAAGTATGGAATACGTGTTGATTCTCGTGAGGGTTTGTGCAACGCTGTTTTCGAGATTGCGTCTGTTGCGAACGCGCATTTGAAGAAGGCGCGTGAGTTGAAAGTGCCTGCTGAGGCACGTGCGGTGCTGCTGCCAGCTGTCGCTGCGCAGGTTACGCTGGACACGTTGAGCCGTGTGCAGTTTGACGTGTTTGATTCGAGGTTGACGAGGGGTATTTTGGGGATTCCGCCTTTGTGGTTTCAGTTGAAGCTCAAGTGGTGTTCGTGGAGAGGGAAATACTGAGAGTTGTTATGCAATGACACTAATATTGGCGAGCACCGGTTTGGTTTGCTTGTGTTGAATAAAATGTTTCTTTTAGGGTTAAAATATCGAAGTCGAGATCGAGCAGCTTAATCTTTACTTGAGGCAAATAGATAATAGCAAATGAAACCCTTGAAGATTGTTCATGTGTTCTGCTACTCTCAGCATCTTCGAACTAAATTCACAGGTTCTTATGCTCTTTATACAACAAGGATCGTCTATCGAATATTTACAAACACCAAGTTTTTGTTTTTTTTTTATTTTATCTATTTATTTTTTTATTTTTTTCAGGCCAAGATTCATCCTCTTAAAATCACTATTTTAGAAGTTAAACTCGCGATATTATTCTCAATCATTCTGTGTTACGAAGAATCCGTCTTTTTCGTTTGTGAAAACAAAACATATTTTATGGTGTGTTTGATAAAATTAAGCACCGAAAGTTGAACGCTAATTCAGTACACTGAATAAATATCTGAATGATTAAGAGTAGTATCTGAATGTTGAATACTGTACTGAGTAAGGCAATGTTTGGTTGTGCTTTTATTTTGTTTTCATTGATTCCCAAAACAAAATTATATTTATTACACTTCTCAAAAAAATTTCTCAAAACAATCTCAAAAGTTTCTCTCTCCTTCAGGCATGATGTGACTACTACAGTAAAATGATTTGACTGCTACAGTAAAAAATGTCTTCACTAAAAAACAAATAAATATCACTTCATCTTTCAATTTTTTTCTTCTAAAATACAATTTTCTAACACTTTTAAACATGATGTGACTGCTACGGTGTATTTTGTCTCCTTCCAAAATATAAACAAACATTACTTTCATTTTCAAATTCTTCCCCCAAAACACATTTCCTCAAAATGAAATCAAAATAAGTTCCAAAACACTTCCAAACATTGCCTAAGTTTATTTGATAACCGAACATCTTTAGCGTCTGAATGATATAATATTACTATATTAGCCCTATCCATTTATTTACCAGATGAATTATTCGTAATTCTAATTTTACAATAAAAAATTATAAAACTAATAGCAATATTATAAGCTTTCGTAGAAGGTTTTTTACTAGGAGAACCATTTATTTATGCAATATAAAATAGGGTAAATTTCACTTTACCCCCTTGTACTTTGGCTGGATATAACTTTACCCCCTTGTACTCTCAATTACATTGATTTACCCCCTTGTACTTTAGTTCGATATCACTTTACCCCCTTCTACTTTCAATTCATCGATTTGTCCGTTGTACTTTGGCTCGATATCACTTTACCCCCTTCTACTCTCAATTGTATCGATTTGCCCCATGTACTTGAAAAAGTATCTCAATGCGGCCCTCGTCGTTAGTTTTCAGATATTTGACCTTAACACCGTTTGATCTAAGTTTGAAAATTACAAAAAAGCCACCCATCCCAGTTTAAATAATTATTAATAAAAAAAAATTGTGGCTGGTGTCGTGGACTATGTTTTCTCGCTGTCTTGATTTTTTTATTATTTTCTTTTTTGTTGTTTTTTATTTTATTTTTTTAATTTTTTTAATAATTATTTAAACTGGAGGGGTGACATTTTAGTAATTTTCATACTTAAATCAAACGGTGTTAAGGTTAAATGTTTGAAAACTAACGGCGATGGCCATATTGAGACAATTTTTCAAGTAAGGGGGCAAATTGATGCAATTGAGAGTAGAAGTGGGTAAAGTGATATCGAGCCAAAGTATATGGGGGCAAATCGATGAATTGAGAGTAGAAGGGGGTAAAGTGATATCAAACCAAAGTACAAGGGGTACATATATATAATTGAAAGTATAAGGGGTAAAATAATATCCAGCTAAAGTACAAGAAGGTAAAGTGGAATTTACCCTATAAAATAATTTAATTCAAATCAATTTCTTATGAAAAGTCAAAATTGAGTCCTGCCCCCTTTCTGCCACCCTCCTCAATTTGCTGGAAAGAAAGAGAGAGACAACGGGTCAAAGAATGCTCAAAGTTTTTGGGGATAGATTTGTCTAAAACCCATTCAGATGTATCTCTTAATCAATAAGTCAGATTTTCTAAATTGAATCGCTCAGTGGAAATTGGTTTGATTCAGATTTATCCATCAAACGCACTAAATGACTTATTGCTGACCGAATAAGAGATGGGGCGTGTTAGAGCTCATTAAGAGCTCAACAAACAGGGCCTCTAGTGCATGTGTGTTTTTATTGGTGTCTTCGTGAAAACGTTTGTACTCGTGTCTATGTGAAAAACATGTGTTCATTTCTGTGTGCGTTTGTATGAAATTTATGTTTTTTTTTCCTTTTCTTTTTGATAAATTAAATATTGCATTAATAAACCGGAACAAACAGAAAAAAAAAAAAGTCTACAATCGGGAAACGCCCTTCACTAAAACAAGAAACATGAATAAGATTAGCATCAACATTTCCACTTCATTTGCACGAAAATGCCCAATTGGCAAGGTGATGAGCACCAATGGATTGTGGACTAATCCGCAATGAAAAGAATCGCATTGAGACAGTCCGCTTCAAAAATAACTTTCTCAAGCTTGATGAATTTACAAATTTCATCAACAAGAGGGTCCAAACAGATGTGAATTTTGGAGTGAACGCGGGCGGGTTTGGGCGGGTTTTCGTAAAAAAATCACCTCGACCTGATGCCGATGGGTTACCAATTTCACCAACTGCATCTGCTTATTTAAAGTCACGAACCGCACGGTTCGGGTGTAGCGGGTTACGGGCGGGTGGCGGGTCGAAAAAATATCCAACGCCAATAAAAGCATCGACAAAATTTAAGGAAATCTCATAAATACATCCCTTGGAGGCTGCAATTCTTCCAAAAAAAGAAAAGAAAAAGAGCATTCATTCCTTACGATGTTTAATAGAGGAAATAAATATTCACGTATATCGATTTCGGATGAATTCCCGCATGCTTCTACCACATTGATATATATATATATATATATATATATATATATATATATATATATATATATATATATATATATATATATACTAGTCTCGAAGCACCGCACAAGGTGCGGTGTCGGTGCCCACTTAATTTTCTTCATAAGATATAAATTTCGATTTCTTTTGAACAATTAATATTTGCTTGATGAAGCACTACCTCAATCTTTTCTTCCACTAGGCCAAAACAGCTCACTTGCGACGTTTTTTTTGGCGACGATTCCAGAATCGTCGCTAGTTTGCGACCATTTTGACTAGCAAACGTCGCAAGATATCGGAAAATAAGATTTCGATGGAATACCTCGCGACGATAAGATCAATCGTCGCCAGTTTGCGACGAATAATAACAAACCGTCGCAAAGTGAAAAAAAAAAATAATGAAGCAAATTCGTAGCGACGTTTTTATATAACCGACGCAAGAAAAAAAAAATTTGCAATTTTTTTTTTACCTTAGCGACGAATGTTACGTATTCGTCGCGAGTGCAATTGTGAAAAAAAAAATTTTATTGGTTTGGCGACGAATAAGGATAAACGTAGCTAATAAAGAGGAAATATTAAATTATATTTATTTGTAGCGACGAAACGAGTGGATTCGTCGCAGGGCAAATACTTTTTTAAAAGAATTATATTTATTATTGGCGACGATAGTGTTGTAATCGTCGCCAAAATAATTATGGAAAAAATCTCGCTTTTCTATAGCGACGTTTCTTACAGAAACGTCGCATGTCTAATTAATTTTTTTTTGGTTAGCGACGAAAGTCCTTAAAATGTCGCTACATGATTGGTTTGAAATCTTTTGTGGCGACGATTTGGTAGGAATCGTCGCAACAAAACGAATTAGAAGTCAGGCCCTAATCCCCTTTTCCCCAATTCTCTGAATTTCTTCTCTCTCATTTTCAATCTTCCCTCCGCCGGCGCCCCCCTCCGCCGGGTCCTCCCCCTCCGCCTCCGTCGCCGCAGTCTGCCGCTGCTCTCCGCCGTCCGCCGCTGCTCTCCTCCGCCCATCTCTCCGCCGCTGCTCTCCACCGTTAGCCCATCTCTCCGCCCCCATCTCTCCGCCGTCCGCCGCTGCTCTTCCCCGTTCGCCGCTGCTCTTCCCCGTTCGCCGCTGCTCCTCAAATCAGGTGTGTGTGTAAATTGAATTTATTGGGGTGGTTTTGTTTCTCTCCACGCATCAGAGAATTTCATTTTGTACATTAAACTAATTTTAAAATTTAAAAAAAAAAAATAAAAAAAAAACGAGACCAATTAATATATAGTCAGAGCTTGTATGGTTTGAGCTTTTAAGTTGTTGGTTCTGTCCAGCATTTTTCAAGGGTTTGAAAATGGGGATTTATCAACTTAAAAGAAAAAAAAAACTCTTATTTGTGATTTGTGAATTGATTTTCGATTTTTGTTGGGGATTATTTGAGATTCTCTTCTAGTAAAAGACACAGAACAAGTAGTAACTGAGTTCAATTTGCATTATATTTTTATTTTTAATTTGTTATCAGTGTTTAAGATAAAGTTGTGAACCAGGGCAAACTCTGTTTCACCATCAATTGGGGCAAAGAGAATCAATTGAGATTTTGCTTATTTAGATAAAAATTAGGTCCAGCATTTTCCCCTTTTCCATATGCCTTGAAAATGAAGTTGATAAATTGAGCCTTATTTTTGCACAAAACTCAAAATCAATAAAATTAGAAAATCTTACCCAAAAATTAAAAACCCTTTGGCTCTGGACTTGAAAACATTCTGTTGCCTTATTTTTATGAGATATAGATGAACAAGTACACATACAAGGGGGGCTTTGGCCATAAAGATTCTGTGATTTTCTCTCTTGTATAATTTTGCTTTGTTTTCAACACTACTTCTGAATTTTTATTTTATTTTGTGTGGGGTGGGTTCGTTTTAATTTTTTCAACATAGTGTATTAATTATGATGATCTATTAATTAATAATATTAAATAAATATGAAAAAAATGCAGAGAAGAGCAAATAAAAATAATAAAAAGGAGCAAGGATTAGCTAAATCAAGAGCAGCAATTAGCAATTAAAAAAGCAGCTTCTAATTTGCCGTTTGTTCCCGCCACCAGCCGTTACCGTCTGCCGCCATTCCTTCTCCGTCTCCCTCATTTCAAGGTAATTTTCCTTTTTTTTAAATCTTTGTTTGTTTATGTTGAAAATTTTGTATGTGTTTGATTATTGCAAACTATTTTTTGGTTTTTTCTCGGAATTGTGTGTTTGTTTGTTTTATGTTGATTTGATGAGCCTGTGTTGCTCGGAATTATTGTTGCTCAGAATTATGCGAACTACCACCTTAATTTAGTTTTAGTTTATGAAAGTAACTTTGAGAATAATTGTGATTTTAATAATTGTGATGGAAGTGACGAAAGCACGGCCAACTCAATTGCGATAGAAAAAGTGCTCGGGAAAAGCAAAGGGCTTGGAATTAAGATTGCAACCACCACAAAGAGTTCAAAGTTGAGATTTTCTTCAATTCCGCCGGAAGTGCAAATGGAAATGAATTCAATGAAAGAGCAAATGCTACTTAAAGATGAAAAAATGGAAAGATTGGAAGCGGAATTGAAAGAAACCCGAGAAATTGTGAACACCTTGGTCGGCCGTTTTGGACTACAAGCCTCGACATCGACTCCTTCCAATGATGGTGGAGTATAAAAAAGGGATGAACTTTGTTTGGTTTTTGAATTAAACTTTGCAACACTACATTATATGCTTTTAAGTTTTATGTACTTTTTAAATTTATGTTTTGTGCTACCTTGATATTTAATCTGTATAATTGGTTTTAATATTTTCGATATAAGTGTATTTTTTTTTACAACTGCTGAATCAGGTTGAATTTCTTAAATGAAAAAATAAATAAACCAGAAATTATATTAAAAAAAATAAAAAACCTAGCGACGAATAAATAAAACAAATCGTCGCAAATAAATCATGGGGCTTGCGACGAAAACAGTCATTGGTCGCAAATATTTTTCGTAAACGTAGCGACGAAAACGTCACAAACGTCGCTCAATGTAGCGACGAAAATAACATTCGTCGCCAAGATTTGCGACTAATTACGTATTCGTCGCAACTGGTTAGCGACGAAAGTATAGGATCCGTCGCGAATACTAAAAAAAACATTTTTTCCAGAAAATACGAATTTTGCGACGATTTATGTAATTCGTCGCCAACATTTGCGTCGAAAATGTTTTTTCGTCGCCGACCTTGCGACGGGACGTTTGGCGACGTTTTCTGTAGGATTTGGCGACGAAAATAATTCGTCGCAAACAAAAAAATCGTCGCCAAACACACATTTTCGTCGCCAAATTTCGTCGCCAGTCGACTGTTTTGTTAGATTAAATTTGTGTTAGATTATTGTTATATGGTATGGAATGCAACATTATAACCGGCAAAGTAACCGGCTAAATTTGTTGCATGTATCATAGAGAGGAAGGAGAATTGTCATGTCAAGAATCAAGTAGAACGCAGGTTCAGTTAGATAAAAGAGCGAGCTAAAACATCGTCACAAGGCGGAAATGAAAATTTCCACATACGGCATAAACAAATGTACAAGGGCATCAAAATCCATACAATAATGCCATAAAAGTTTAAGAACCTCCCGACGTACGTCTGGCAGCACCGATGATGCACTCTTGAAATAAACAGGCAGACGATTCAATGAAATACATGCGAACACATAAACAGGCAGACGATTCAATGAAATACATGCGAACACATAAAGATCTAACAATTGAAAGGTAATTACGAAAGGAGGAGACGAAAAAAAACAAACAAATGCCTGATGGACGCAGGCTGAAAGAATTGCCATTTTCATAAAACATAAATTTGAGAAAAACAAGGAGGTAAAATAGCTGCACAATAATGAAAACGAAAATTCCACGAATAAAAAAATTCCAAAGGGACAAGGACTTCCCGACACTAAGAAGACAAAAAAACACATAACTGAATCCACGGCGAAAAAGCAGGCGAAAAAGTAGGGCGTAATGTACAGAGCCAAAAGCGGAAAAATGTGCCAACCGATGAGATAATTCACCGAAAGATGCACGGCTGGCCAAGAGCACAATCCACCAAATCCATATGAGCATCTAAATAGCTAAGAACTGAAAATGAGAACCAAAGATATATACCGTCCAACATACCTATCAACCGAAAGATTATTTATTTTAATTTGTGTAGCAATTCAAACAGTAGAAAACATAAAAGAAATTCATTGAAGAAATTTAATAAAGGATATTTCATTTCATTTACCCAGAATTGAGGGAAGAGTAACCTTTATTTTCTTCCTTTCTTGCTGAACTCCCATAATGGATGTATCAAGCTCCATTCTGCATTTACAACACCTACTTCGTTTAGATTAATTTCACCTCTGTAGCACCATTATTGCTATGTTTTCCTTCAGCAGAGGTCCACCAAGACGTAACCTTCGGTCAAATGTATGATCCCCGTACCTGAAACAAATGAGTTATGTTTGGCATCTCCATCATGATTTGAGCAAAAGACAAAAAAAAGGCACAAGTAAAAAACTCGAAATTTGCCTCAACTGAAAAAACATCTCCCACTTCGTTATTATGTCGTGAATGCAGATTGCACTTATGTGCACACCCACTAATGCAGAAACAATCCAATCTACATGTAGTACAGTAGAGCAAGAACCTTTATCAATTCAATAACAAAAAAAAAGAACCTATTCTCAATACAGGCCTAGACCACCTACGCGAAATTTCTAAATCTTATCGTACTCTTCGATCATTACTATCATCAATCCATCACCTATCATTAGATTCTAACTACAAAGCCACAACTAAATTCAGTCCATAAAAAATACGACGTTAGAACTTGATCATAGGATATACCTGCAAGATGAACAGCACATGCCATCTTTTACGGCGAAACGAATTTTGGGGAAACGAAAGCAACCCTCGCAGTGTGACTCTTGGGCGGCAATACATTCCGAAGCTGCTCATTACAAGGTGTCCTAAAACCCCTTCTCTAAGACAAGCAGTTTTTATTTCCCAAACTGTTTTCCAAATAGACTGAACCAAAGTTGGAGGCCAATTTTGGGATTCTAATTCAGGAAACAATTGATTAATCATTCTCTCTAAAAGCACAAGCTTTGAGCCGCAGACAGAGAAAAAATAGGACCTTAGTGAGATGCGAAGCTGAAGAAAAAAGAAAACTAAATTGGGTGCAGAAAAAAGGAGTGCACATACTACATAACGGAGGTGTGATGATTGGCTGAGTAAGGAGGGAAGGGTTATTTTTTGAATTTCATTACGACGTCGTTTAGAGCAAGAGTTGTGTTTGACTAATAAAAACGTGTTATGGTGTAGCAATTATCTTCAAAAGGACGGGCTCGTGAGTGGCACGTGATAGGGTTGCATGGCTGCCATAAACCCTACGTTTTCAGTAAACCCTAGCTATATAAATGGAAAGTGGAGAAGAAACTCTCCAAGTTTGGACTAGCTAGTATAGTTAGGGTAGGTAGCTGTAGCTGTCTTTTAGCAGCTGCCATTCTTATCTTTTGTAAGGCTTTATTTATTGTGTTTTCCTTTCTTGTATGAATTCAAAGCTCACTTTTGGAGTTGGTAATCAATGAAACCTATTTTCAGTTTTGTTTTGTTTTGTTGAGTTTCGGATATTAAAGCTAGTCCATGACATTTGGTAATCAGAGCATGGTTCTGGACATCACCTGTTCATTATCACTCAAGAATTACTCACCTCATATTCACTAAACACAGCACCACAAAGCACTTCACTGGCACAAAGATGAGTAGAAATAGGAATGAAATCACAGATCCAGTGCAAGAAAACACGGATCCGTTCAGGGAGGAGCAGCGAGAGATAAATACCAGGCACCAAGCAGAGATGAGGACCTTGAAGGAGGAAATGACCAATATGAGCTTCAATATGGAGCAAGTTAAGAGATTACTCGAAGAAATGACCAAGAACAACAAGGGGAAAGAACCAGTTTATGTGGTGGGGCAGTCATCTCAAAACGACAGGCTCTACACACCTCACCAAGACCATTTCTTGCCGGGCTTCACACCAGACAGAAGTGCTGAGGGCAATAGAAGGAATCCCATGGAAGCTGAGAACGTGGGGCAGAGAGGGCAGGAGATACAGATCTGCAACAATACAAGGGGGCCGAGGGGTGAGTTTCCCAAATTTAACGGAGAGGACCCCAGAACCTGGATAAGGAGGTGCAACAGGTACTTTGTCTTGAACCCCATGACTGATGTGGAGAGAGTAATGATGGCTGCTATGAATCTGGAGGGCAAGGCTGAATATTGGTACATGGATTACGTAGAAGGAAGGGAGTTTGTAGGGTGGAATGTATTCTCCAATATCGTGTATGAAAGGTTTATGGATGAAGAAGGAATAGATGTGGTGGAGCAGTTCCACAAGCTGAGACAAGAGGGAAGTGTAGAGGATTACAGGCTCAAGTTTGAGGAGCTCAAGGCCTTTATGGCTCAGAACCATAGGAACTTAGGTGAAGATTACTACATTAGAGCCTTTTTGGGAGGGATGAAGGATGAGCTGAAGAGTCTAGTGAAAGTGCTCAAACCTATGTCTTTAGCACAAGCTATACAAATAGCTAAGATGTATGAAAATACTCTGGACCACCTCAAGATGGGACTGAGAAACACTGTCAAACAAGCTACAAATATAGCCAATAGGGGGGGGAGAGAGACTCACCAGGGAGGCACTAACAGAAACTGGAACACATCAAACCACAGTCATAAAGGAAACATCATAAGGAAGCTGTCTAAACCAGAAATGGAAGACAGAAAAAGGAGGGGATTGTGCTTCAATTGTGATGAGAGGTTTGTTCCAGGGCATAAGTGTAAGAATGTGTTCACCATTGTTGGAGTTGAAGAGGAGACAGATGAAGGAGAAGGGTCAGAACAAGTAGAGGAAGTGCCAGAAGGAGTAGAGGAAGAGACTATTGGCATCTCTCTCACTGCATTGACTGGGCAGTCAACTGCCAACACCTTGAAGGTCAGAGGCAAGGTCAAGAACAATTACTTGACAATGCTTCTTGACACAGGGAGCACTCATAGTTTCCTGGACCCTCAGACAGCAAGGAAACTAGGCTGTGAAGTAGTATACACCAACAAGTTATTGGTCACAGTGGCCAATGGAAATCAAATGGATTGCAATGCTAAATGTCCAGCATTTCAGTGGGAAATGGGGAAGCATCACTTCATATTTGAGATGAGGTTGCTCAAATTAGGAGGGTGTGATGCAGTGATTGGTGTGGACTTTATGCAGAAGTTTGGGCCAGTGCTATTTGACCATGTGAATCAATTTGTCACTCTGAGGCATGGTATCAAAGACATAACCATTCATGCTGACAAGCAAGAGGCCTCTATCAGCATGATCACTGGCCAGATGCTGAGCAAGATGTTTAAGAAAGGGCAAGTAGGGCTGGGGTGTTTATGATGAGTGGAGAGCAGAAGAAACAGTCTTCAGAGCAGGATCAGACTGACAGCATGGAGAGGTTACTGTTAGAATTTAAGGACATCTTTCAAGAACCTACAAAATTGCCACCTAACAGAAACATTGACCACTCAATCACCTTAAAAGAGGGAGCAGTTCCTTTTAAGGCACAGCCATACAGATACCCTTACATGCAAAGGAAAGAGGTGGAGAAAATGGTAGAAGAAATGTTGAAAACTGGAATAATCCAAGCTAGCACCAGCCCATTTGCCTCACCAGTCCTTCTAGTCAAAAAGAAAGATGGAAGTTGGAGGTTTTGTGTGGACTACAGAAGGCTAAATGCCATCACTGTCAAGGATAGCTACCCTATCCCCA